TATTATGTATGCAGCACTTGATAGCGAGCTCGGGGGAAATGGTCTCCTGGATGTTCCTCCGAAAGTATTTTGGTCTGGCTGATTACGGAGGAATTTAATTTTGGCGGGCCAAATCCCTTCCTTCAGGTGATGCGAGGCGCTCTCGGAGGCGGCCGGCAGCCTCGCTGCGCGGGACGAGCGCAGGGAGCGCGCAGAAGGGCGCCCCCTCCCACGCCAGACGCCCCCGCCCGCAGGGCCGCGGGGAGCGCGGCAGGGACGTGCGGGAGCGCGCCCGGGTTTCGGGCGGGAAAAGGAAAAATAAAAATAATCTTAAATAAAGAGCAATGTTGGAGCGGTGCGGGGGCTTGCACGGCGCGGGGCTCCTCCGAAAATCCACCCGCGGGGCCCTGCGGCTCTGGGCTCCGGTTCCCGCTTCAGATGTGCCAATAAAGGAAAAAAAAAGAAAAAAAAAAGGGAAAGAAAGAAAGAAAAATGAAAGAAAAAACAAAAAAGCAGTTAACGAAGGTGCGTTTTAGTCAGCGAGTCGTTTCAATTCCCCGCGCATATAAACACAGGAACGGCCTTTCAAGAAATTCAGACGACTTTGTAAAACACCATCGACTCACACGTTCACACCGAGAAGAGTAGTAAAAGGGTATGAGTGCAGGGTCTGGATTTTATATTTTCCCGGCCTCTGGGGTCTGCTTGTAGATGGAGGGAATTGTATTTTTTTATTATTATTATAAGGATTTTTTTCTGTTCTCTTTTCTTTTCGGCGCTATCTGGGGGAAAAGTAACTTCGCAAGGCGAGGCTCACAGGTGCTCCCGGGACCACTCCGCTCCCGCCACACGACTTTGTCGGGAGCGGGATCGCGGCGGGCAGGATGGGGACGGCCAGGGGCAGGTTGCGAAGCTCGCGGCTGACCCGAGGGCTCTCGCGTTTCGCAGCGAGCGGCGCGGGGCTAAGCGGGGCGGTGAAAGCGCCAAGTCCTCAGCAAGTGAGAGAAGCAGGAAGAAAGCCAGATCCAGGAGGAGAGACAGCGACTTTCGTTGAAGAATTGATCTGCGTTTGGACCAGGAAAAAGCGACTTTTTTTTTCCTTTTACATCTATACAATTAGTTCGCTTTTATTTATAGTTCGTGGTGAAATACCCCTCCCTGGAAAGGAGAGGAGCATTAAGAGCTTTCGCCTCGAGGAGCGGCTTTTCTGCTGCTCTTCTCAAGCGGGTGGCGGGGCCGGTGCCCGCTCCAGTCCTCCCGACAGCTCTTTCCAGGGCTCGTCCCGCCGGGATTTCCGCCCCTCTCGCCCCCTTCTTCCCGGCAAAGCCCGTTCTTTTGGACGGAGTAGGGCCGCGTTTCAGGGGAGCTCCTCGGGGCGAGCAAAAAGTGAGAGGGAAAAGGAGGCCCGATCATAGCAGCGGCTGGAAAGGCAGCGTCCAAACAGCCTGATCACCCGGGGGCTTCGCGGCCCTAAAGTCCTTAAGTAACCTTGAATTAAAAAATAAAATTAAATAAATAAAAGCAAAGGAAATAAAGGAAGACAAACCCCGAAGTCTTCTCTGACACGGTTCAGTAATAAAACAAACGAAAAATACTAACATCTTCCACAGGAATCATCCAAGAAAGGAGTTTACAAGTAGATGCAAAATCCCACTGCGCCTTAATGATCTAATTTGTGAGGTATAAATTCACTAGTTGCCTTTGTCCCCTTCCTTTCTTTCCTTTTCTTTTTCTTTTTCTTTCGTTTTTTTTTTCTTGAACCTCTATGGAAATGACTTTATTCATTTGTTTGCACTACACCAAAACTATGAGCGCACAGTCTTCAAAGAATGGAAAATAGCCGCTTCGGTACCCCTGGCTTTGTAAATAACTGCATTGCCAATAGATGGCATAGTGTCCTTTCCATTGCGAGGAAGCTCCTGATCCCACTTTATTTACCTTGCTTGTTTGTTTTGCGCTCAGCGCCTTTTTTTGCGCATAAAAGTCTCTTCGCATTTCCCTCCCTGGGGTACAGAAAACATAGGTATCTTTAAAAAGGTATATTGCAAAAATTAAAATTACAGATGTAATACATACTGTGAAACCTATAAAAATGCGTTTACAATGGTTACTTAAAAAAGAAATTTATAACTTTCATATGTACCTTACTCGCGCAATATGCAACTGCCATATGTTTCCTAGTTCCATAATTCAGTTTTTCCTGGACAGCTGGAGCAGGTAGTACTTCTTAAAGTACATTTCATGTAATATGAGAACTAGCCCTGACTAAAGACCGAGGGTTACCATAAAAAGACACAAACCTTAGTTAAAAAATGTTGTTTAACTACACATCATTTCTTATAGTGGTACGATATGAGCGTTCCCGTTGTCCCGCTTTGTGATAAAATGGGGATATCTTTTTACTGCTGAAATCCCAGCCTCGCAAACATAAATATTTCCAATTAATGCCTCCACGCTAAAATAAAGTGATTTAAGGCTACCTAATTTAATTTAATTTAATTCCATACATGTTTTCATATTTTTCCTGAGACAATAATGAAAATATGAGTTGAATGTATAGGAAAGCAATAATAATAGTAATAAAAAGTTAAGCCAGGGGTTTCTTCAACCCTCATTTAGCGTTTGCAAACGCTTATTTTGCAGGAAAAGGCTGTTTGCAAACCCCGCTTGTCCGAGACGAACAACAAACATAAGTGGGAGCGTCGTCTTAAAGACGGGAGATTTCCCTTAAAACAACGATTCCCTCGGAACGAAGGCAGCGATTTCCGCGCTCTAAATCGCAGCCGCAGAATCGCAAACCGCGACACGGGAACCTTCAAAGGGCGCCCCTCAAACCTGCCACCCTGCGATGTCGCACCCGCCGGGGGAGTGCGGCGCTCCCCTTGTCCCTACCCCGCGCCAGGGCAGAACCCGACGTGATTATTGTTGTTGTTGTTGTTATTATTATTATTATTATTATTACCATCGTTTCAATAGCAATAATAATAATTTATGTTATCCCCGCTGTTTTGAAGAGCGCCCCGGGGCGGGCGGCCCTGGCCCTGCGCTGTCCGCACGGGCGGGCACAGCCGAGCAGGCCGCGGGGACACCCGTGTCACCTCCTCGTGCTGCCGGTTCGAGGCGCGCTCAGCCTCGCCCGGCTCCGCAGCCGCGGAGGGAGGTGCGCGGGGCCGGGAAGGAGCTGGGATAGCGCCCGGGGCTCTCTCGTGGGATGCGTTTTGTCTGCCCGGCTCCAGTCCCCTACCTGCAGCCACCTCTCCTGCTCTCATCTTTATTCGTCGCGTCTCCCTGGAGGGACGCGATGTGGATCGCCTGGGAGAAAAACATGGATGATGGCAGGAAAACGGTTTTCCCTAGTGACCGCACCTACGGTGCCTTGCCGGGAAGGTACCGAAATTGGTGTCTTTGAAGAGGGAAGGACCTCGTGGAGGATCTGCTGTCCTCCCCTGGCGCTCGAGTTTAATGATTGCCGAAATGTTGCCGAAATTGTTCTGTGACCGGTAATAAGTAGCCAGAAGCCCCTAAATGTCACCCGGGTTTTCGAGCACAGCGCAGGAAAATGGCTTGCGGGTGGGAATAAGGTGGGTTTTTTTTTTTCTTTTTTTTTTTTTCCTCCTCGGAAAGTCTAAATGTGCAACTCTCCTCCATCAAATGAGTAGCACCTCGCCCAGCCGCCTACAAGCCTCGTCTGCATTTTAAAGCCCGGAAATAAAACTAACCCCCAAAAGGTGCTTTAAATATATCTATTATTACATTAGCAGAACGCTATATATAGGGAGATTCCCCTCTCTTTCATCATCCCATAAAAAATTAATCGGACAGACATATGGATCACAGGTTGCTCAACAACTTTAAATCCATCCAGTTATTTTAGAAAGCCGAGAAATGAAAGCAACATGCCACATATCAAGCTTCAGAAATCTGTGAGGAAAAGTGTGTGTGAGGGGGGAGAATCCACAACAACAACAACCGCAACGACCAGCGCCCACCCTCCCTGGGGGGGAAGAGAACTCTCTATGTGTATGTACATATAATATATGTATGGGCAATGCGTCCCTTCGCCGTTACGCGGTGCGGGGCAGGAGGTCAGGCCCGCACCAGTTAGCGCTGTGCTGGGGGGAGCCCCAAAC